AATCTAGAAATGAGGTTTCTTTATTTTCAAATTATCTTACCATTTCTAACCGGCAGCAAAATCTTGAACTTCGCTTTCTGCTGACCACTGTGACTAGTTGATAGCTTCTTCTACATTTTATAATAACTATCTCACTTGTTGGTCATTGTGGCATGTGGGGGCTTCCTTACTTCCGTATTCAGCCGGGTACAACCAGAACTCCCAGAAATAATAAAAACACTGACTGAGCCCTATTTCCTTTTCAGTGGCTGCAACCTACATAACTCAACCTGAAGGGCTACTCTCAACCCTTGCTGCAGAAGAAACGTGGCATGACCTGGAAGCTTGACTTCAGATTTCTCGTTCCTCGTGGGACCAAACAGAGAAATAACTCTCTACTATGCTTCTATTCAAGAGAAGAACTATGTTAACTGGGAAACCCAACATTTTCCCCGCAAAATACCACTATTTTACAATCTCTTTCAACGACAAATAAAAGCTGTTAAACAGTTATTTAGAGCCTTCCACTCTCACCACCGACCACACAGACACCAGGGAAAAAATTCCTACAATCTCCTTATTAAAAGTACGTAATTTTAGACGTATACTAAAACCGTGACCAAATTAAAAACTTTTTCTTCAAAAAGAGATTTTAAAATTGTAAAAGCCCCCCCCCCCTAAAATCAACTTCTTGGTCATCTTTTCCTCTGTGAATATATAATGATGAAAATGAATAATTAAAAAGGTTAAAAGTAATGATCAATACTTAATTTCTTCGTTAAAATGAAATCTTTTCAGATGATTTTGAAGCTTAAAAATGATTCAAAATCGGCATCACTTTTTCCGGGTTTTCTATGTATGATGAAGTACTTTGTTAGGATGAGCAAGTACTTTATTAGGATGAGGAAGTACTCTATTAGGATGAATAAGTACTTTATTAGGATGAAGAAATACTTTATTAGGATGAGGAAGTAATTTATTAGGATGAGGAAATACTTTATTAGGATGAAGAAGTAATTTCTTAGGATGAGGATGTACTTTATTAGGATGAGGAATACTTTATTAGGATGAAGAAGTTATTTATTAAGATGAGGAAATACTTTATTAGGATGTAGAAATACATTATTAGGATGAAGAAATACTTTATTAGGATGAGGAAGTACTTTATTAGGATGAAGAACTAATTTATTAGGATGAAGAAATACTTTATTAGGATGAGGAAGTATTTTATTATGATGAGTAAGTACTTTATTACAATGAGGAAGTAATTTATTAGGATGAAGAAGTACTTTATTAGGATGAAGAAGTAATTTATTAGAACGAGGAAGTACTTAATTAGGATGATGAAGTATTTTATTAGTACGAGGAAGTACTTTCTCGTTTGCACGTTTCTACTAGGAACAGTATAACATTCAAACTACGCAAGACAAAAAGAGTTCCTTTGGGTTTGCGATGTAACTGATCCTCACTGGACACGGCCAACAGATGAGTTTAGGTCGAGGTATTTTTATATTTACAAAACTGGACATTGTGTAATAACAAGACAAAATATTCGAGTTCAGAATGAAGCTCGAATAATCAATCGCTTTAAGGTTAGCACATTTGATATGTTTACTTAACATCACATTAATCTCACACCGCACGAAAATACTGAATTGAACCCAACAACAGTACTGTATGAGATTTTTTTGTTTAGCATTACTCAGACGTTCACTCTAATCAAGGCGATAATGCCACTAAGATGCAAAGAGTTACTGAGAATGAAAGAAAATAAGATTTTAGAAGGAATCGGAAACCCAATCCTAAATCAAGGCGATAATGCCACTAAGACGCAATGAGCTACTGAGAGTAAAAGGAAACTTGAAGACTTTAAAGGAACAAGAAACTCAATCCTAAACTGGAAACAAGGGATCAACTTCTACATCTGCTCAAAAGAACAGGCTGAATGTAAACCAGACTACTCCTATTATATATATATATATATATATATATATATATATATATAACGACAATCTTGGTAATCCGTATGGATAATCCCAAGGAGGATGAAATCCTGGGAGCTCAATGTTAAGTCAGAGCGAATAATTTAATTTAAAGAAAAACAGACCACTTTAAGGCTCCATTTGTAAAAATTTATTTCACCAGAGACTTATTTTTCTCTGGATCTTCAGATTTCAGTTTGAAAAGGTAAAACGAAAAATGAATTTAAAATGTACACTTTTTGACAGGAAGTATTAAGCTAATATAATTTGACATAGAGGGTGGTGAGGAATGGCGTGAGAGACATGGTCGAGTTTAGAGAGGGAAGGAAGGGTTTTAAAATTTATTTTTATATTTATTTTTATTATAATACTTAATATTGAGGAAGGAGGGGGTAAGAATCAGACATTATATATATGTATGTATATATATATATATATATATATATAATTATTTTCTTAATCAATTCATCCAAAGCAAGATGATAATGCTACTAAGACGCAAGGGTCTGCTGAGAGTCAAAGAGAATGAAAAGACTTTAGAAGGAACTGGAAACCCAATCCTAAACAGGAAAGAAGTGATAAAACTCAGATTCTGTTCAAAAGAAAGTGTTAAGTGTGAACTGAACGATTTTTCTCTTTTTAGATTTATAAATGTGCCATTCGTCCATGTATCAAATATTGTTGCTAAATCTGGCCCGGTGCTTATATCTATCAATTCTGGACCAAATGCAAAGAAGTGCCTGCAACGCTATCGATCCTTATCTGTCATCTCGACTTCGGTCACTATCCCATTGCCGTAACGTTGATTCCTTTTGCCTCTTCCATAAATATTTTCACAATTATTGTTCTAATGAGCTTTCATCTTTGGGACTTCGACTTCATGAATTTAAGCGCATTACTAGATTGGCAGTTAGGTCTCATAATTTCACTGTTGAAATTACGAGATTTAGCCCTAAGTTCTATGCTAATAATTTATTCCCTCGTACCACTCGCTTGTGGAATTCTCTTCCGGCATCCTGCTTTTCTGTTAACAACGATATTCACAAATTTAAATGCAATGTCAATCGTCATCTTCCGTCCTCTTTGACCCTCTTATTTTATTGTTTTCTATGTTTCTTTCACTCTCAGTGACGCTTTTACTGCCTTGTATTAATGAATTTTTTAAGTGTCAGAAATGATATCAAATCTTAATAACCTCTCACTCCGATGTGAAATTTGAAAGAAATTTGCATTTAATAAAAGATATAAACATAATAACAGCACAGAATACAAAATGTACAAAACAAAATTGCACGAGATTTTTTTTGTTTTTTGTGCGCCTAAGACTTAGGCAAGATAACAAGTTCTAATTACAATTCTGTTGGGCTCATAAAAAAAGAGTTATAATTATTGTCAACAAAATGTTCACTTACTGCGATTCATTCGACTGTCGAAAGGAGGTAATAAGGATGACGATTCACAGATGTCGCTGATTTTTAGACAATAGTTCATATTTACAAACTGAGATTCAAAAATGAGATAATTCTTGTATTTTCATAAAAAGTTTAAAATAAGGGTAAATACCTCTAATTTTGTGACAAACTTTCAAAAATGACTATAGAAAGTTAATTGTATATCTCTCTAAATTTGTAGAATCTTATACTTTCTTTCCTTTTTCCTTTTTTTCCCCAGAAACAGCCCATGGTTATTCGCTTGTGAAAATCTCTTTTCTCTGTCAGACAAACCAGACTTCTTAAGTAGATACAAATCCACTCCCAATGGAATCCGAATTTGAAAACTATATTGACGTAACTTACTTTCCCCAAGGGTTAAAAAAAAATTACAAAATGTATCTCTTTAAACCACGCCCATTCGCAAACTTTATTTTGGTGGGTTTTCAGACCATCGAACTTGACCCTCTGTTTTTTTACAAATTTTGAAAACCAAATTTTATACATGTATCTTTTTTATAAACTGCCAGAATTCATTTAAGCATACACATTTTTACACATCAGAATTAATTCAAACCATTTTTTTACTATCTGGCTTCATTTTAGAATGTTCTTTCATTTAAAACGTATGTGTTAGTAACTTTCTTCTTTTAATAAATGTTTTTAAACACTACCCTTCAAAAGAAAGTTTAATTAAAAAAATCGTTTATTGTGTTATTTAGTTATTTACTCTTTATTTAATTTTTATATAATTTTACATTCATTTTTTATTTTATAAATTTTTATATAATGTCGTTTGAGTTAATAATAAACCAAAAATATGCATTCACTTAGATTTCTGACAATTGGGTCATCCATAGTAGCTGTCATGGCTTCGTCTATCAGAAGTCCATTAAACGTTGGATCAGATGAACAGAACCAATCATTAATAATTGGTTGTATATTATTTTTTATGTTATAAGTACTATTTATTTCAAATCAGATTAATTTAACTTTAAATTTTCTAATTTTACTAAAATAACGTGTCAGAAATATATATTTATTTTTTGAAAGAATTTTAAAATAGAAAAACTTGTTTTGTTTACAAATTTCTTAAAATTAAGAAAATGGCCGCTTTTAGAAATCGAAATTAAATTTGACATTCCAATCTATATAATTTCTATCTGAAATACACCAGAATATTTTACTTAATGGAAATAATAAATATAGTTATTAAACTTTCGATTAAAGCGAAAATTTTTCATTTCTAAAATTTAATTTTAAACCTGAGGTATCGAAAATTTACGCCAAAAAAAAAAACGCGGAAGTCCCTAAATAATATTACTATGGAGTCAAGATATGTAGAAGTGGCCACCTGAGGAAAAAATATGGTCTACGTTAGTGAGTGTTGGTGCTAAAATTATTTTATGAGAAGACACAAAATCGCATGTAAGAGGCAAAACGATTCTTTTGGCATTTTCCGGGGAGGAAATTGCGCCTCATATGTCGTCAAATACGGTAATTATTAGAACTCGTATCCTTGCAACTACAGACTGCGTGCTATATTCGACCTGCCAGAAGATATACCCAAGCCCGCAACAAGTTGATAGATTGAAATGACTAGCCTCACTCATAAAAAATAAAAGAGAAGAAGAAGAAGAAGAAGAAGAAGAAGAAGAAGAAGAAGAAACAAATAGAAAAAATGAAAAGACGACAAAAGAGTTAAAGAAAAATGAAAACAGAAAATGAAGCGTAAAAAAAAAGTAAAAAAAGGGGGCGGAGAAAAAGTGAGGAAGAAAAGGGGGAAAGAAAAAGTGAAGGTGAAAAGGAAGGAGAAACGAAAAAAAGAAAAGAGAAACGAAGTAAAAGGGAAGGAGAAATGAAGGAAAAAGGAAAGAGAAATGAAAGAAAAGGAAAAAGAAATGAAGGAGAGGGAATGATAAATGAAGGAGAAATGAAAAAAAGGAAAAAGAAACGAAGGAAAAGGGAAAAAGAAAATATGAAAAAAAATAGAAAAGAAATAATCAAGAAAAAATAAAAAGAAGGAAGAAAAAAGTAAAAAAAAAAAACAAGTGTCGAAATAAAAACATAGAAAAAAAGATAAAAAGAAAGAAAAACATAAACTGAAATTCTGGGTCGCTGATGCAATCACGTGATAATTCGCGCCTCTTAACCGAAAAACAAAAAATACGGGTAGGAATCCTGGGAATCTTTAGGGGTTTTATCCTCTCTTACTCTTCCTTCCTTCTTTCGTTATGTTTTATTCTGGGTCTTGATTTTTTTTTTCTGAAATGGAATTTCAATCTAGTAATATTAGCGTCAACACCAGTGAATTTTGGCAATTGAGAGACACAGAGGGTATGGTGACCAACGTTACGGAGGAGATGATATCAAATTACTAGACAATACAGAAACTTTTATCTGTGTAATTGTTAGTCTTGTGTGTCTGTCTATTTTTCTATGTTGTTTTTCAGTCTGTCTATCTATTGGCCTTTACTAAATTGAGCTTAGCAAGGCTGTGTTAACCATTAAGCGAAATAATCACACGCGCCCCGGGAACTAAAATGAAAAGAACCATCAAATGAGAAGAGAGTACAACAAGCTTTATTTTTAGTTTTTTTTATTTTGAAGATAATCTATTCTATAAAACAAAATGTGACTTCTATATTTATCTTTTACGCAACCTTGTTTCAATACTTGGTAAGGTACCTCAAATAATTCGCTAAAATATCAGTATAGCATAATGAGAAAAGGTCTGAAACTTAATAAAAACAAAGTTTCATCATTAAAATGTTTATGTAATTCTTAAGAGGAAAGAACAAAGTATTTTTTAAATATTTTTTAAAAAATTTTCCTTCTTTCTAACACGTTATAAATTTGGGTAAAAAATCTCGGTTTGTTTTTTGTTAATTCCGTAAGACTTGTGGTCATCGCTGTTTTTAGTGTAGCAGTTTCGGTGGAAACCCATTAATTTGGAAATTCTTGCAAAAATCAAATAATTGACTAATTTAAATGAAACATTCAGGACTTATTAAAAAATGAATGAATTTATTTGTGAAATTTTTATTTTTAGAAAATCTTGGTAAAATTTTTTTTTTTTACATCTGTTACCAATAACCCCCACACCCCATAAATTAATTTTATGAAATTTTCTAGAATTTCAAAGAGTACGCAAATTGTTTTATATTACTTATAAGAAGAACCCTTTGGATGAATTAAATAATCAATTTTTTTTTTTCACAACTACTGCCAACTTCTTACATATTCAAAATTTTACTGCAATTCACGTGAAGGAAGCAAACTGAATGCTCACACACACTGATTGGCCGACAAAACATGGGCTCTTCCAGTGACTTGCATTACACCCACTTCTTTGTTGACCGAGACACTCGAGTGTGGGGAGACGGGAAATATCCTGTATGTCAATTAGACATGTACATACATTCAGACAAAATATTTTTTATGTATGTATGTATACTGTATATGCATCGTATGTATTAACACTCTCACACAGGCTCAATAGAAGACAATTCACTGTTAATAACTCATTCTCGAATTGCCCCCTTATTCTGTTGGTATAGTAAACCGAATGGTGCACGTCCTACGCATGCCTCACCAAAGTATTACCATGTCCCACCGGTGGGGCATATGCCCCACCGGTGGGAATCATTGCTCTATAGTGAGACCAGGTAGTCAATACACAGAATTTTATTTGTTTTGTTTTGTGTTAGCTTTCTGTTTGATTTTTTTAAGCATTTCACCCCAAGCAGGGCAAGATGCCTCTAGTATGCAAGGGGTTACAGAATGGGAGCGAGAGTAAAGAGGTGTGATGGAGGAAAGGATGAAGAGAAATACACGGAATAGGTCAGGGCATCTGGAGATGTCGATTGACATTACATTTGAATAGTTGGAGATTATAGCTATCAGGGAAACCATTAATCGGAAGGGAGTTCCACAGGCGAGAGGTGCGAGACATGAAGCTATTGAAGTAGAAAAGACGGCTACATTTAACCGTTTTGACAGTGAAAGGGTGGGGGTGAGATGCCAATGTAGTAACACGCTTAAATTCATGCAGTCTGGGAACTAGCGAAAGTAGCTCGTCGGAGCAATTACCGTGAAAGTATTTGTAAAAAAGACAGAGGGAAAGAGCGACTGTAGACGAGATGCCAGATCAGGACCAACCACATTGCTTATTCGTCTCTGGATCTTATTTTTACTTTTAGAAAGTACACAGTTGCAACACATTGAGTAGTGAGGCTTTTTTTTTACTGCACAGGGAGTCTAAAAGGTTAACATACAACAATATTTATGCGCGTGTATGTATGTAACACTTTGCACAGAGCTCACAGATACTACACTTTGATTCTAATATTTACTTACGTATCCATGAGTGCAAATTCGACACTGAAATTGAGAAATCGACGTTAAGATTGATATGTCGTAAAACAAAAGAAACCAAACCAAACTTAAAATCTAAAAAATATTCCGTAATATCGAGTACGTAATTAATAGTAATATATGAAAACTAATTCCGGATTACAGATTTCAAAATATTCTAATTCATTTTTCAATTTCTTTAAAAACAAAAAAAAAAAATAATTTTCAACCAGATCACTGTAAAGAAGGCACATTCTATTGACGTCAGTGCATACGTCACCATGTTTATGTTTCCCAAGTATACTGACCGACAATAGTCTGACCTTCTTTTAATCCCATTTTCCATCCAGTTTCGAATATTTCTTTCTATATGGACGATTATGGTTGTGTAGAAAACGGTGGCGGTGATGAGTATGTAAAACACACGTGAGTAGAAATGTCCTGATAGCCGGTCCAGCTACATGAGAAAGTTGGACTTTAATTAAGTCCAAAGAAGGCAAAGAAAAACAAACACAAGACCGATAAATATATGTAAACAAATATATGTATTAATAACAAGTTAAAGGTCACAAGTTACATGGACAGTTACATAGACAGAGTGCGTGTGGTGAATATCATGTGTGTGTGTTGTGTTGTGGTGAGTGTTCGTACGTTCGTGTATTGTTCTTAGCGTGTTCCCAGAATTTGGGAAACGCTGTATCTGTGAGAGCTCACATCTGCGAGGTGGTATAAGGCAGGAGGTCTGAGGAAAAAGAGAACGAGGCGAAGGGTCAGCCAGTATTTATAGCCAGGGGAGAGAGACCCCTGGTGAAGCGTTAAGGAGCTGAGGAGGAGCTAACTCCGACAGTTCTCCAAATCTTCCTATCCTTCGTGGCTCTAAATAATACCTGTCCCTTCACAATCACCCTAGTCTCTGTCCTATCCCCTATTTGCACTAGCTCGTCAGATATTGGTTACTCGATGTTTTCGTCTTGAATACATTAAGTCCTGTCTGTGTCATATTTTCCAGGCCTTCTTTTCTCTTGTGTCGAAGAAATGTCAACTGTTTCTTTCTAGTTCTAATCATAAGTGTCTTTTTGTTTTCATTTTCCTCAAATCTTCATCCTTGATCACATGATCTCTCCGTGACATTCCCAGAATCCTTTGCACGTCTTTGTTGCCTCATGTCTCCTTTTCATCTATGGGGGTATTGCCCAGCATTGACTCCCATATTATTTATATTGTATAGCAGTTCAGAAGTATTTTCTTTGTTTCTAACGAAATGATTATATTTCATAATTCTTTGCTTAGCTTCTGAAAGGGTTCTTTCTCTATTCAAATGTACCTTCGAATTTCTGAATCATATTTTCTGTTGTCTATTATAAAACTTCTCAGTTAAACATTAGTAACATTAGGATACTGATGTACTTGATTGATTCTGATGTCTCCAATTCGTAGGTTACATCCTGCGTTGTCTCTCATCTTCTGAGTTACGTCTTGGCATGCCCAGCATCCTTCTGTGTTGCCTCTTCTTTATCTGTGGGTATATTGACCAGCATTCACTGACATATTGGAAGATGGATATTAGTTAAGCATTTTTTTTCCTTAGAACCTTTTTAAAAAAAACGTCTGGCGGAAATTGTTCTGTGTTTGTTACTGCGTCGTCTAATATAAGAGGGACAACAGGAAACAGGAAGTAACATATCTAACGGGATGGTGTAAATAAATGGATAAAAAAGGGAATAGGAAGGATAGCTAAAAAAGACAAGAAGTTGTGGAGAGTCATAATCGTCCATATCCTGAAGAGATATGGCACATAGAAGTCTAAGCTAATAACACAAGTGACATATCACCTGGAAATCTAACAAACAGCTAATTAGAGCTTGCTCTTAAATCATAGAAAGCAGACGATAGGGCTGATTCCTGGTGTGTGTACAGAAATCCAAAATATGCCTATATATATGTATATATGTTTTGTTTCAAATGTATGTATTTTATGTTACTTTTAAATATGTAGTTAGCATAGAGAATCATAAAATCTTATAAACGAATGAATGGACGCCATTATTCAGTATATGCTGACGGGTTCATACGACGCTGATAGCTGTTTGGAGACAGGAGCCATAATCGTTTGCAAGAAAGAGATTCTTTTACGCGTTCATTTCAGAACATCGACATAGGGGAGGCGCAGATGTCGCTTAGATTTGGGACAAGTCAATTCACGCCGCGTGAAATGTTCATTCTTAGTATGTCACATGATTTGCTCACTGTTTATGAGGCGTCATTCACAACCCCGCCCCTAACATTTTTATACGTACACATACAGAATATATTTGTAGTTTTTTAGTAAACTTAGAGACTCACGGCCATATCACGTTAAGCAACGTCGAGCTTAGTCATTATTTAGATGGGTGACCGCTTGGGAATACTAGGTGCTGTAAGTTTAGATGTGCAGGTGGTGTAACGCATAGAGGATTGGGAGTGACCAATAGGAGAACTGAGTTCGTATGCCAGTCGAGTTCGTTAAATCTCCATATGCGCAAATACCCATGGGAATCGTATGAATTAAATCGTATTAAATTAGGTACCTTCAGGAGATCGCTAAAAACAGCATAGCATGATGAAAAAGACGCCAAACTTGGCGAAAACAAAATTTTAGCGTCTAAATGTTTATGTTATTATTAAGAGGAAGTTGTATTTTTTAATTATTTTTAAAAAATTTTCCTTTTTTTAGAACATTCGAAATTTTGATTAAAAAACCTTGTTTCTCTTTGTGTCACCGGAATTAGTGAAATAATATAAAATTTTAGCGCATTTTTTTCTATATGACAGACATTAATTTTGAAAATCTTGCAAAAATAAAAATAATTGTCGGATTTTAATGAAACTTTCAGAAACTATTCACAAATGATGAAACTTATAAATATGTTTTTTTCTTTTTTAAAGTCATGGAAAAAAATTTTTTTTTCATATGTATTTTTCATATGTATTACTCCACGCCCCCTAACTAATTGTACGAAAACTATAATTTCAATTTTGGGAAGATTAGTGATTATATTAGTTAAAAGCACAAGGCTTTGAGGAAACCAAATCATGTTTTGTTTTGTTTTTTTGTTTTTTTAGTTGGACCATCTCTACCTGAAAGTCATCTCTGAATTGTAACATAGAAAACTCAATAAAACAAAAATATTATTTAATTTCAAAAGCTTTTAATTGCTTTTATTTATTTTAATGAATATGAACAATATTGTTTGAAAGATATTTCGATGAAAAATGAATTTTTAAAACAATTATTTGTTATTTCTGAAATATTTTATTATTTTTACATTATGTTGTCAATTCTTCTAAAATTAGGGAAAAGCTTGTAGAATTTAACGAATGTTGTTATTAAGTATATATATATATTTACAGATTATAATTTCCAAAGCTTCTTACAAACTAACGAACAACAGTTTTATAAAAAAAAAAATAATTTGTGTCAATAATAACACTGTAAATCAAATCTACGGAAAACCGGAAGTATCATGCGTGCAATAAAAAAAAAAACGTCACGTGGATTGAGTTTCTGTCTAGTATTTAACTTAAATACTGACTTTTTAATACAATTATTTACTATTTCTTTAATTATAATAGATTTTTGCATTTAAGTTGTTAAAATATTATAAAATTAATTAAAAGCCGTATTAAGTTTCGTAAATGTCCATTTGAGATAGATTTATTTTTGCAAAACACGTGTGGAGAAGTTAATTTGATTTTTCAATTTCAACTGAGAAGGGTACCTACAAGTATCAGTATCATGTTATGAAATTTAAATTTGTATTTTATGTACACTTCTGATAAATTTTAATAAGAAGTGTATCTATAAATTAATTAGATACCTTTCTTATGAAATTTAATCTCACTCTTAACAGACTTATTTTAATTTCTTTATAATATATTTTCCATAAAGCATCGTAAACGTAAAGGTGAAAGCTAAGTACAAAAAAAAAATTAGAGCGCTGAAAGTTTTCCTTAAAAATAACGAGGTAAATCATTTGTTCACTTAAATCTAAATAACTTCACATCTCTCCTTCCGTAGAAGGAATTATCCTCACGTAAACTATTAAAACGTCATGAATGTCTTTCGTCACCTGTCAAGTGACGCGAAAGGTTATGACCTGCTTTGTTTTATTTTCAAACTAGGTCTTTTCGGCGCAGAAAAGTAAAGGTTGGTTCAAAATATTTTAAATAAACATTATAATTTCTAATTTTCTTAAAATAAGTTTTGAAAAAAAATATAATTGATTTTTAAAAGAATTACAAACTGAGAATTTCATTTTTTTTATAAATTGGAAAAAATGGCTGACATGATCGATTATCTGTCAATTTTGCTGACTAAAAAAACAAGGTTTTTAAGGAAAATTTTGGACGTGCTAGGAACGATTAAAAATGTAAAAAAATACCCCCAAAATACTTTGATCTTTTTTTCTCTTAAATATTAACATAAACATTTAGATGATAAAGTTTTGTTTTCATTAAGTTTGGCGTCTTTTTCGTCATGCTATACTCTTTTTAGCAATCTCATGAAGGTACCAAGATTCACCCACAAAAAATATTCTTACAATCTAAAATATTTTTCTGTTTTAAATAACCAACAATATGGTTGATAAGCTGTAAAACAAATCAAACATTACAACGCCTATCTTTGGGCACGTCGGCGTAATGTAACAGTTAACAAGCTTATCTCGCCAGAACAATTACGACTGGGTAGTGAGTTTGATCTTCACTGGGTGCCCCATACTTTCGTCCTTGTGCTGTATCTAAACCACAGTTAGACAATCAGTCATGACTAAGCTTAGCTTGGTTTACTTTGGCACGAGTATGGGGTGCCCAATGAGGATCGACTCCTGACAGTATTAATGGTCAATTAGACTAGTTACATTAATACAACGCATGAATTCACGATACATTCAACTGCTTGAAAGAAGCTGAAATATTCTCTTGTTTTGGATTCAAGAACTTTTTTATTTTTTTAAGCGTTTCACCTCAAGCAAGGCGGGAAGCCACTAGCACCCAAGGGGTTATAGAGAGTTGGAGCGGGAGATGCCGATTGACATTACATTTGAATAGTTGGAGATTATAGCTATCAGGGAAACAGGAAAAGGGGAGGGAGTTCCACAGGCGAGAGGTGCGAGACATGAAGCTATTGGAGTAGAAGAGACGGCTACATTTAACAGTTTTGACAGTGAAAGGGTGTGAGCAAGATGCCAGCCTAGTAGAACGCTTAAATTCATGAAGTCTGGGAACCAGCGAAAGCAGCTCATCGGAGCAGTTACCATGAAAGTATTTGTAAAAAAGATAGAGGGAGGCGGCGGCATGTCTGTGAGAGTGCGACTGCAGACGAGGTGCCAGATCAGGGCCAATTACATTGCATATCCGTCTCTGGATCTTATCAAGAACCTTGAGACAAACATAAGGGGCACCGGACCATATATGGCAGCTATACTCCATGCAAGGTCGAATGGTTGATTTGTAGATTTGAAGGATCAACTCCGGGGAAAAAAATTCCTGGCGCGGCACAGGGAGCCAACTTGACGAAGCAATTGACTCAATGTATTTGTTCCATCTCGGGTCAGCAGTCAATTTGAGACCACGCAGCCACAGAGAGGTGCTCTCGAGAAGTTGAGCGTCAGACATTCTAATGAGGGGCAGGGGATGGTTCTCTGTGGTGAGTAATAGAGAGCAGTTTTATTTTTGAGGCGTTAGTGTTAACCAGCCAATTTCTGCCTCAGTTCACAATCGATTGGCGGTCCATTTCGAGACGAACGGCCAGGTTAGTTTTGTCAACGACACTAGATTTGTTTTTGAGGCAGGAGTAAATTGTAGATACCTATTTGGGAATCTATGACGTCAGGAAGATGGTTGATGAAGATAAGGAACAGATTAGGGCCTAGGATGGAGCCTTGGGGAACACCTGCGTTCATGGGATAGGAGCTGGAGGAGAATCCGTTGAGAACGACGCTCAATACACGGTTTGACAGGAACGATTGTATTAAGTCAAACAATCGACCTGAAATTCCATAACTTGTTAAATAGTGAAAAGGAAAATATTTCTATTGCCTGTCCTATATCATCATCATCATCTTTTGATTACTGCTATGGTCACACTACCTACCAAATTTGCGGGAAGACCTAAGGCTGGTAGTGGTGTGCTGTTATGGCTATATTTCATGATTTGTTTTTCCAACTCCCATAACATCACTAGCGTTACATTGACAAAGTTCTTCTTAAAGTGTGGGCTGTACTAATCAAGACAATTTTTATATTTCTCTTCAGCTGGTAATTCCAGGGATTTTTTCAATGCGTTGTTGTGTTCCTTTTTGGTCATTCCAAGAGCACCTACTGGTACTGTTCATGTTTTCAATTTCCACATTTTTTTCTATTTCGATTTCCAGGTCGTTATACTTCGATAGTTTTACAAATTCATTGCTTGCTATGTTACAGTCCGCTGGGCAAGCCACATCAATTAGCAGGCATTTTTTTTTTCTTTTCGTTTTTTGATAATTATGTCCGGCCTTTTTGCTTCAATCTTCCTGTCTGTAAATTTGATGTAATCACATAGATTGTTATGACTTTTATTTCTGTAAACGGTGCTGGGTGATGTTCATACCAGTGTTTATTAACGTTTTTTCCAAGGTCTTTGCACATTGTCCAGTGTAAGTATTGCCCCGATCTATTGTGACGATTTTTAGATTCATTTGGCGCAAGTATAGAACATCCTGATATTAAGTGATCTATGGTTTCCTGATATTTGTCAAAGAACTCTGACATCACATGCGATAGTCGACCACGATAGATAGTGTGGTTTCAGACAGAAGATGGATTTAGTCTGATGGTGTTGCGAAGAGAAAGTGATTGTGACCGAGAATAAGAGAGAAAAAATTAGAAAGTAAGAGAGAGAGAGAGGAGAGAGAGGCAAAGGGATAGTAGATAACAGAGGGAAAAATAAAATGGGAAAGGAGGAAGAGATAGAATATAAGATAGGGAAAAGGAAAGAGAGAGTAAGAGAGAAAGTCGGAAAGAGATACAAGATAAGAGAGGGAGAAGGAAAGAGAGAGTAAGAGAGAACGGTGGAAAGAGATAGAGGATAAGATAGGGAAAAGGAAAGAGAGTAAGAGAGAAAGGTGGAAAGAGATAGAGGATAAGAGAGGGAAAAGGAAAGAGAGAGTAAGAGAGAAAGAGATAGAAGATAAGAAAGGTTAAAAAATATCAAAAAGAGTCGAAATTGCTAAGTGAAATAAATATATATATATATATATATATATATATATATATATATATATATATATAGGGCGATTGAAAAATAACTCCCTATTTTATGTATGACTGACCAGTTAGGAATGACTTTTTTCTTTGGGGTTAGTTAAAGAACCATGTCTACTTTACCAAATCCAAACCGAGACTTTGGAAGAACTTGAAGGGCGAATGCATGAAGTTATGTCTTCCATACCACAAGAGTTCCTGGTAAAATCAATTGACGCAATTTCCTGGGCGGCTCGAGAAGCTAATAGCGAAATCTGATGTCCATATTGAATTTTAAATAAAACCTCATGCTAAACGCGTTCTTCTCCTATCCATTTCTTGTAAAAATTATAGTTAATAAATAAATTATATGCATTTTAAAATGGGGAGTTACTTTTCAGTCAGCCTGCAGATGCCGACAATTAGGACGCTTCCCCTAGATATAGCACAAGGCCGAAAATATGGGTCACCCAATGAGAATCGAAGTCGTAATTGTTCTAGCGAGACAAGCTTTCTAACCATTACAGCACGCCGAGATTCCCATATTTCCCTTATGTTTCGTAAGTTTAAAAAATAATGTCCGTTTTTAACGTTTGGTCAAGAATAGTTCTTTCATAAAATTATTATTATTATTATTATTATTATTATTGTTGTTGTTGTTGTTGTTGTCGTTGTTGTTTGTGTGTTATGGTTCCTGCTTTGTATCCTGTAGATCCGGGTCCAAACTATGGTCCTTAGGCCCTATAAGAGAATTGTCATTTAATTGATAGCACTTTTCTTAGTATATGGGATGTTTCTAGTAGGGCGATCTTCTGGGCAACTTGTATGTTGATGTTATCTGGGAGACTATTAGTAAAATTGTCCATTCCTTTTCTCAGGAGGCCCAGGGCTCCGATTTTCTATTGGCACAGTCTCAGTCTTCATTCCCCAGATCCTGTTAATCTTGATCTCCAGGTCCTTGTATTTGGACAATTTCTCGATAATTTTCATAGAGGTGTTTCTCTCAGATGGAGAGGTGTTTCTCTCTATATCAATAAGCATACACTTACTGAATTTCTTGTCTTTTATGATAATTTATTATTATTATTATTATTATTATTATTATTATTTGAACATTAAATTGAGCTATATCAGTCCCATGTGATCTCGGCTGTCAGCCGCTCTTCATCGAATCAAGTTAGTCATATTTTTAGTCCTCAGTGCCGGTCATAAATCAAATAACACAATTTATAGTAACTTACGACTTAAGAAATCTATCATATACGGAAGTTGGTAAGATTTACAGTAAAAACGAATTTTCTTTTAGTCGCATAACTTTGATTACGGTGTATTGTTATAATTGTCATATTTTATTATTGTGCCTTATTTATAAAAGAAACAAAATCACTCACGAAAGAGCGCTATGTCGAGAAGCCAAAAAAAATGCTCCATGCCTAATGGCAGCGGTGTAGGTACGACGGTCAGCTCCGACAAAGTTTCATGGCGCTGGACGCACAGTCATCAGGTATCTAGCGACAGTCGCTGGCATTATGGCCATTTTTTCCTCATCGGCGAATTCATGATGTTCTACCAGGGATGGTCGATATGTACACACAGTAAACACACCAAGTGATGTGTTTAATTTTATTACAGTTATCTCCTCCTTATTTAAATTTACCAAGCATCAGGTTGTCGATAAAGCCGTCAACAACTTATAAAACTGTCACGATCTCATTAAACCACCCACCCGCATTAAAAATGCTTTTTTGCGATATTTTTAAATTAAAAAACAATATTTGTTTCAATTCCGATTAATTAAACTTTAAATCAGCTTTCAAAAATAATGTTTCAGTACAGTATACTCTATTTTTTTACAGATTTTTTTAATAAAGAGAATTTGTTGTCCTGACAGATTTGTCAATATGGACGTTTTCATCGATTTTACTGATAATAATAAAAAAAAAAAAATAGAAAATGATTCCAATCAATTTAAATTCGGTTTAAAATACAGCAAAATATCTTGGTTATTGGAAATATTAAATTTAATCTTTTAGCTTGGAAATAAAACTAAAATAAAAGCTTCAAGTAAAACTTTTCATTTCTTTAAATACATTTTAAACCTTATATATATATATATATATATATATATATATATATATATATATATATATATATATATATATATATTATATGAATGCATGAAGACATATTTAGGAAAATAGACCCACAGATACATGAGTACGCATATATATTTTTGACGCCCTCCTTGCCAAAAGGACGTATATTCAAACACTATTCTTGTCTAAAATTCCGCTTTTAATTTGTACATGAAATGTCTACAAAAAGTTACTGACATAATCCCCCCCACCACCAAGAAAAAAAACGCAGGAAGCTACAAGACAAAGGGTTTTTTTTTTTTTTAACGAGTGGTAGCGGTGCTCAGGATGGTAAGCAACTGGGGGAGTAAAATAGAGAAAGATAAATGGATACAGAGTGATACACAATGATGAGAGGGGCCAGAGAGCTATAGATCGTGGCTGGGGTGAACAGGCAGAAAAGAATGTCAGATTGGTCATTGCTTAATAGTCGTAGTATGTGAGTATTGGAAATCTTTAAAATATTACGACGGCTTCATCACGGCGTCATTAACGCTGAGTGCTGAACAGAACCAAATGAAGAGTTTTGCGGAGATAAATGGGGGGAGAAGTCAGCTTCAAAATAGATGACAACGGGAAGCTAAAGAAAAGACTTGTTTTATATATTGAAATATTTACATATACAGATATAACAACAACAACAACAACAAAAAAGATCGGACAAGCTCGTGTTTGGTTTGCTTTTTTTAAAAAAAAAAAAAATATAATCCTGTTTTTTTTTAATCTTGGGAAGGCAGTTGTTGAATTGAAATTCGAAAAACAATGAAACATGCTATATTTACACGAGCGCACACACACACACAATACACACACATATATATATAAATGCGTGTGTGTGTGTGTGTGTGTGTGTGTGTATATATATATATATATATATATATATATATATATATATATATATATATATATATATATATATATATATATATATATATATATATATATATATATATGTATGTATATATATTTTAAAAAAGAGAAAACCAAAACGTTTTTGATTGTAATGTGGATTTTTTTTTTAATATTATGCTTTATTTTCCAATATTTTGCTACACGTGTTTCCGGTCTCGCGACTGTCATCAAGCAAATGGTGGAGATTTCCATATATTATTAAAAATAATTAATTTTTTTCCTTTATATTTTTCGATATTAAATATTCTCGATATGACCACTAACAAAAAAAAAAAAAGAAACTAACACAAAAAAAAAAAATCTATAAAAGAGAATGTCTCATATCGAGAATATTTAACATACACATACGCCACACTTCATCTTTACAAAAGTCATATCAAACCAAAAATGGAGTATTGCTTTCATATGTGGACTGGAGCTGCCCAATCCTCACTTTCCAGCCTTGATAGAGTCCTTCCGCCACACTTCATCTTTACAAGAGTCATATCAAACCAAAAATGGAGTATTGCTTTCATATGGGACTGGAGATGCCCAATCCTCACTTTCCAGCCTTGATAGAGTCCTTCCGCCACACTTCATCTTTACAAGAGTCATATCAAACCAAAAATGGAGTATTGCTTTCATATGTGGACTGGAGCTGCCCAATCCTCACTTTCCAGCCTTGATAGAGTCCTTCCATATACACTTCATCTTTACAAGAGTCATATCAAACCAAAAATGGAGTATTGCTTTCATATGTGGACTGGAGATGCCCAATCCTCACTTTCCAGCCTTGATAGAGTCCTTCCGCCACACTTCATCTTTACAAGAGTCATATCAAACCAAAAATGGAGTATTGCTTTCATATGTGGACTGGAGATGCCCAATCCTCACTTTCCAGCCTTGATAGAGTCCTTCCGCCACACTTCATCTTTACAAGAGTCATATCAAACCAAAAATGGAGTATTGCTTTCATATGTGGACTGGAGCTGCCCAATCCTCACTTTCCAGCCTTGATAGAGTCCTTCCGCCACACTTCATCTTTACAAGAGTCATATCAAACCAAAAATGGAGTATTGCTTTCATATGTGGACTGGAGATGCCCAATCCTCACTTTCCAGCCTTGATAGAGTCCTTCCGCCACACTTCATCTTTACAAGAGTCATATCAAACCAAAAAGTATTGCTTTCATATGTGGACTGGAGTTGCCCAATCCTCACTTTCCAGCCTTGATAGAGTCCTTTCGACACTTCATCTTTACAAGAGTCATATCAAACCAAAAATGGAGTATTGCTTTCATATGTGGACTGGAGATGCCCAATCCTCACTTTCCAGCCTTGATAGAGTCCTTCCGCCACACTTCATCTTTACAAGAGTCATATCAAACCAAAAATGGAGTATTGCTTTCATATGTGGACTGGAGCTGCCCAATCCTCACTTTCCAGCCTTGATAGAGTCCTTTCGCCACACTTCATCTTTACAAGAGTCATATCAAACCAAAGAGTCATACCAGACTAAAAATGGAGTATTGTTTCGACATCTGAGATATAGTTGCCTGATCTTAAATTTTCTAGCTTTGATACAGTCCAAAAGCATTTTGCGCGGCTTTATGGGTGATGGGTAGTTTTCCACCATACAACCCATCTTCCAAAGGCGAAACATTGCTAGCATCCCGCTATTTTTTTTTTAAGTGCCAGACGAAGGGCAGATTTATCCTGATTCCAAAAAGGTATAAAATGTCTATGAAGATCAAGCGTGGCTCTCGTTAGAGTGGTTTCAGACACACAGACGGACAGACAGAATTTGCCGTTACTTTATTTAGATAAGAATGTTAGCGTTTAATCAAGATATTTTTCTGTCTAAATTGTTTTAAGAATTATTTCTTTAATGATTTTGTAGTACTCCCCCACATATACCCAGAAATCTTTTTCTTTTTTTCTGTATTCACTTTCTCTCGTTATTAAATGTACATTCTTTTATTATCATTATTATTATTATTATTATTATTATTATTATTATTTTCTTTGATTTCTGGCGTTTACACATTTCTTTCCGGGTCCCGCCCAGGGACCTAAGGTTAGAAATGGCGTCATGACACTTTCCACTGACAAAAAAAAAAAAAAAATTACATAGATAAAGCCCTTCGTAAGGTGTGGGCTGTACTTGTGAGAACAATTTTTTGTATCTCCTTGAGGCATGGACTTCCAGGAATTCCTTCAATTAGTCTACTGCAATCTTTTCCAACCAGTCCTAGGGCTCCAACTACAACAGGGATTGTTGATGTTCCCATATGCCACATTTTTGAGATTTCTATTTCAAGGTCCTTGTATTTTGACAACTTTTTGAATATCTTCAAAGATACATTGCAGTCAGCAGGGATTGCCATATCAATAAGGAGGCAATGTTTTTATTTGTGGTCTTTAATAACAATATCTGGGCGGTTGGCCTTGATTGTTCTGTCAGTGTGTATTGTGTAGCCCCATAGAATTGTAACAGGTCCTATCTCCGTAACCGGGTCTGGGTGGTGTTTCATACCAGTTTCTTTCAGTTTCCTTCCCGTAGAAGTTGCAGATTTTCCAGTGCAGATATTGACCCACTCTGTCATGCCGGGTTTTATATTCAGTGGGTGCCAATATCGTGCAACCTGATACAAGATGATCAATCGTTTCTGGATATTTATGACAGAATCGGCATTTTGGGCTAACACAATATTTTAGTATATGTGCTTGATAATTCCTAGTTAACAAACATTGGTATTATTATTATTATTATTATTATTATTATTATTATCATTATTATTATTATCATCATCATTGCCATTATCCACTGTTATATATAATGATTGGTATTATATTAAAGAAAGCTTTACTGGCATTATAAACTGATTTACTGTTACGATTATCCTCATACTGGTTGTTATATTCAGTGTTTTGGCCGTTGTGCTTTGACCGTTGTTTTCACAATATTTGGGCCATGATTAAAAAAACTCAGACTTCCTGCTTCCCCTCTCGAGATTCAGGTCGGGTGGGGCTGCTGTCGACGACAGGGATTCATAGTTGGGGCAATAAGTAGGAAGCAATGATGTCGCATATCCTGAATCCATCATAAAAATTTAATAAATACCAAACAGTTCATATAGCTTGGTGAATATATTTATATACAAGAACATTTCCGTCTTTTTTAACAGAACTCGACGTATCTCTTAAAACTATATCTGATCAGTTGGTTACAACTGAAAATATGAAAACGATGGGCGAATAGATTTCACATGAATTGACAGAAAATTAAAAACTGTGTCATTTTGAGGTTACTCACGATTGATTACTGTAAATAATAGTGAAAGTAATGCAGAAATGAAATCACATGAATCGATTTAAAAAAAAAGCAGTAATTGCGACAGGCCCCCATATAAGTAGAAAGTGCCATTTTATCTCAATCTAGAGTGTTTCTGTTTCATAGTCGGCCGGCGGATGGGGTCTTCGAAATCGGGTCTTCTAAGTGGCATCCACTGGAACGGAAGTGTAAATGAGGGGAAGAGGCCTTTTGAGATCAAGCGACAACAAAATCAGACAGAGAATTTCCGTTTCTTCTATGTGCCTTGTCCATTAAGGACGTGGTAGATCATGCTTCTCCACAACTTCTTGTCCTTTGTAGCCCTTAGTAAAATTTGTCTTTTTGGTATATTTCCTAATCCCTATTCTAACAAACAATTACACATGCTGGTTATTAATGCCTGATTACCTTTCTTTTGTCTCCCTTGCCTTTAATATGCTCTGAGAATATCAAATTCTCCAAGCCCTCTTTCCCCATTAGAAATTTCATCTCTCTAATGATGCTACGTGCGTGTCCTTTTTGGATTCCATTTTCTCTAAAACCTCGTCGTTTCTAATCTGTTCAGTAAGTTTCCGGTTACTGGTCTTTATTAACTCTCACCTTTGGGAACAAGGAAGGCAGATCTGGTCAGCCCTTGATGGCGTACAGACTGTCCCTTATATATTTTTCATGCCGCCCGTTCCTATATGAAGATAAGCAAAAGATGCGAAAAGATGATTTGTTGAACTGATAGAAAATGTACCCACCTAGACCGAGCAAATGAAAGCCTGAATTAAACATCTATTTTATAATATTGGAATCAAGGTTCGAAAATTCTCATTTCCTGACGTGACATTTGTTTTTGCCTATTGCTTCTTTGTGAACGTGTAATGGACCTTTCCTGGTTTTTGATGCACAGGAACGAGAACGAAAAAGCAATGTGAGGAATTCATTTGTTGGTAAGTGAAAAGTTGAGTGCGGGCTCCTTTGTATTTTTATAAAAAAAAAATATACGCCGTTATAAGTTGCTTTCAGAATAATGAGGCATTTCTGGAAATTGTAATCATTATGAATGAAAAATGTATGCTTTTCGGCAATCGTAAATTCATATTTTGATTAATTTTTGTTTTGCTTAAAATATTATTTTAATTAGTTTTGTAAAATTCCAACATATCCTGTAGTCCGTCGTGGGCACCTCGACGTGGTGTAATGGTTAG